AGGATGGACACACACACACACACACACAAAAAAAAAAAAAAATCACACAAGACATGAATGGAAATACATGCTCAAGTTATTGAAAAGTAGTTTAGAACATTACATTCATTTAACCTACAACATTGCAAATAGAATTTTCTTTCCATATTCTGATCCTAGTTAAGCCTTTAACATGGTTTAAACGTTGCTTCCTAAAGGACGATTTTTTCTTTACTTACTATGAAAAATTATTTTAAAAATGCAGTTTAATTTCTTTACTCTTAAGTAACATTTTAACCAAGGGCAATAGTTCTTCACTGAGTAGCACAGAAATAGGGAACTTTTTTGTACTTAATTCTATGCCACTTCTAACATTTTCCTTTATTTTTATATGAGGTTCAGTAAAAGAATTTAGATAAGTAAGAATAGCCGGCCTATTCACAGACAACATAAGGAATAGTCTTTCAGCCATTTTTAAATTCATTGAGAGTTTAACACACACAACACCACTTTCTTGTTCTTAAAATATTGTAGCCATTGTTCAAAACAGGGCTACATCAAGAACTGGATTTTGTTTAATCAGTTGAGAGCTAGAATGCAATTAAAAATGATGCAGATGTGCTAGCTTTCATTCAAGTGAAAGGTAAGGATTTATAGAAATCCAATATATTTAAGTGTTCAGTCAGTTAAGTGTACACTTGGAAGGCAATTCAGGAATTGAATTTCAAAAACTACTGATTTCATGGAGATCTCCAAATTAGGCCACTTTTTCCAAGAAGCATGTCTTAATACTTGCAGGGGAATCTCTGGTACCATTTTATGTCCTATATACTATAAGGGAAACATACCAGCTAACTGGTCCCTACAAACTCTAAAGGCACAGTTATATGAACTTCAAGTAAACTTGTGTCTATTAGATGTACTACTGGGGATACTTTAATCTTTTTTTTCTTTAAAATAGAGAAACATTAAATACAAAGGACTTGATTACTACTGCATCCCTTAAAATTCATTATGGACTGAAAGCCAGAAATACAAGATCACTTTGCTTCTTTATATTAAAAAGAAAATATAAAACAATCTTCTTAAATTCCACATATATGAATATTAAAAATTACTTGCTCTATTTAAGAGAGAACACCACTAGAACACAGACTGCTTAGCTTTTCCATTTAATAGTTTCCAAGTCCTTCATATATATCTTATGCAATTATAAACTACAATTAAACTATGGTACCCAATCATCTACTTTCTATACCTTTTATGGTGCCTTAACAATATACTTCCACTTGGCATAAATTTAATGTGTTACTTCACTTTAACAAAACCAAACTGAATCATTTTTCTAAGAATAGGCAAGTGAAAGACCCCAAGTCTGTTAAATACACAACAGAAAAACATGGGGGAGTTTCTTTAAATGAATTCAGACTTTTACTGAAAAATCAAAGAATGTGGAAGACAGTTTAACAAACTGTTTCTTTAACTAAGTCCTAAGTAACCAAGCATTTTCAGAAACAAAACTACAAAATGTAATCACTCATGAACAGAGCCGACCCAAGCAGGGTACAGGCCTGGGGCAAATAATCCCATGCAGGACTCCGCCCCCACTCCAATCCCATGTACCCCGGATCCGAAGAAGCTGCCACTACCAGTGGTGCAGGGGGGTGGAGGGGTGGTAGCAAGTGGCTGGATGCAAATCCAGCAGTACAGAGCCAGCTCTGGGGGGCCCCCCCAAAGTGCGGGGCCCAGGTTGGTCCCCACCCCTAGGAATGCCCCTACTCATGAAACATGCTAGAAATTCAAAGTGTGGAACACAAACATGCCAACATTCAGGTGAGACAAAGAAAAAAAAGACTGCAAATACCTCGAACTGTTACTGTTGCTTTTCTTGTCACTTTTCCATTCTTCTTCTTCCGATGAAGAGCCTAAACCTTCACTTTCTTCAGCTTCCTAGATTCAGACAGGTTTAGACAACTGTCAATCCTAAATTTCTTACAGTACAGATTTTAAAAGGATATACAACTAAATACACCTCACTATCCCTTCTCCTTATCAGCACTATCAATTTGGACAGCTCCCTGTACAGTGTTAAAAATTAAGTGCAGATGAAAAACAGTTCATTCTTCATTATTTGAGCTGACTCCCTGAAGCAAATGAAAATTCTAGCACTGCACCAGTAACAATTCAACCTCAAACAAGTGCAGAGTAATGTGGGCTGGGGAGGTTGGAGGGAAATGAGAATTGCTGCACTTAACAACTGAAACTCTCTGCAAGGAGTTTTTATAAACGGCTTTGAACTGTAGACATATGATTGCCATTATTAAGTCAAATAATGCACAGTGGAACTAGACTAAAACCATACACTAAGAGAAGTTTTTAACTGGCAGAGACAGGGGAAGCATAGATGAAGAAACTATGTTCTTTCCATTCATAGTTTAAAAAAATTACAGCAGGTGAAATATTTGATACAAGGATGTGGTAATTTGGGGAACTTTGCTCCACACACACCTGGCATCAGAATAGTTTTGTTTTTTTAAACATGAAACCATATAATTACTTGCAAAACTGATTACAATGCTAACTGAGAGATCCTACAGCATACTGCAGGTTGTCCTTTCCTGAAGTTTTTTCACATTTTTCATTACAAATTTGAAATTTATAACTAGCTAAGAAGTCAAAATCTTTGCTAATCAAGATTTAGAAAAAAAGGAGATAAAAGCCTTGCTTCTCAGTTCACAGACCTGGGTATTTCCATCATTCCAGTTGTACCCTATATCCATAGGAAAAGCCTTAATTTACAATCTCCTTTTAAAGGCAAGCATTCAGCATTAGGTTATTCTGGAATTAAGGATGACACTTCAACTTCATCCCAGCCTTCATGCCTGCAAGTTATAATGCAGCCCCCTTAACTGCTTGACATCTTCCACAGCTTCCTCTTGCATTCAGAGTCCACAATGGACCATACAAAATAATAAACTGCTCATTTAGCGAGTGTTAATCCTCATTGTCTGAGTGTATTAAACACCTTAATTAATCACAAGCTCTTTAAAATTCCCTTTGTTGCAGAATTATTAATTCTCATGACCTTTTCTGTGGCTTCTACTATAATACCTGGCAGTTTCACAAAGTAATTTATTTACACAACTCTGCACAATGAGGGAATGATCCACATTGTACAGATAGAGAATTAAAACAAAGAGAAAGATTAAATGTCATGTGTCCACTGAACCTGGCTGCCCAGCCCAATTTTTCACAGTACTTGGCATTATGAAGCACTTCGTCAGTGTCTCAGAATGCTCAGTTCTTTTGCAAATCAGATGGTGGAATCTTGGAATTAAGAACCCTGAGAGGAGGAATCCTTCTACCTTCCCAATGCAGCATTTGAAGATGAAGTGAAGCATTGAAGAAGACGAAGCATAGGAGGCAAAGTTCTCCTGCTTTCAGTTCTTTAGCCTGATGCTACAACCACCAAAAGCAGCACTTAGAAGAAAAATTCTGCTTCAGCCACTGCAACCATGGGTTAGGGCTAGGTCATAGCCACTACAGACAATTACTGGAAAAAGTAGAGTTTGACAGCTAAAAAGTCCCTATTGTTCCCATGTAAAGTAAGATTTTTCAAAAGGATTATAAACTTGACTGAATTTGAGTAGCTTTTCACAGGAACATCAAAGTGTCAGGGCAATCCCACCACCAAGTTTCAAGTCTCTGTTCTGAAGCATACAGAATGGGAAGGTGAGATGGTTAGATTTTATTTCTGCTGTACAGGAACACAGTCTTGGAAGTCTTTTTCGACTCAGTCTTTCCAAAAAATATGGTGCACGTCTTATTTGAGGACATGCAATATGCGAGTAAATACAGTACTTTCCACTAACTCTAGTTACTGACTTACAGAATTTAGGATGCCACTCACTCACCTGCTCTATGAAGCCAAAACAATCATCCTTTTCCTCCTCAGATGAATCAAGTTGTTCTATATTCTTCCGTGTTCGATAACTCTGGTATTTACACCGATGCAGTCTACGCTTGAATTGTATCAATGAAGATTCAGAGTCACTCTGATTGTATAGAGAGATTAAAAAGTTAAAATTTTATAATTTCTAAAAGTTAAAATTATAGAATAAAATACAATGACAAATTGTTACAAACTATTTTTGCAGAAAGTTAGAGAGGAAAAGAAACTACTGAATTTAAATATTAGACTAGGCTAGTTCATCATACCATATGTACTTTTGTACAAGAAATGGCTTTAGTTAAATACTGTTGTTTGAAACAGTTCATATAAATATCAGGAATTTTAAAATTCATATGCAACATTAATTCTGAGAAGCTGCTGTTGTTCCTGACTTTTACACAAGTATCCAGCACAGCTTTCCCCATTTCATTTTTCAGATATTTCATTAAGCCAGCATGTCTTCTGTGTTTAACTATGTTACAGTAAAATCCAGACTAAATTAAGAGGAAATCAACCATAACAAATTAAATACATCTGTACCACCTAACTGGACTACTGTGAACATACTGGGAATGAACTGCTAAAGAACTGAGGTCTACAGATTTGGTCATTTTGATATTTTTACAATACATTTCAGAACAGCATCAGAAATTCTTAACTCTTAAGACTAAATGTTCTTTACAACTAGGGTGTCCAGACTATGGAACAAGCTCCCCTCAGAGATGGTGCAATCATCTACCCTAGAGGTCTTCAACAGAAGACTGGATGGTCACCTGGCTGGGGTTGTCTGACCCCAGATGTCTTTCCTGCTCATGCAGGGGGCTGGACCTGATGATCCTTCAGGG